ACAAGCTTTGACTATATTTACAGATGGATCTAAAAATAAAGCTGTATATTGGACTCAAAAATCTTACTGGGTACGTCAGACAAATTTTAACTCTGTACAACAAAATGAACTTTTTGCTATATTACAAGTGTTTTTAGATTTTCATAACCAACCTATTAATATTATAGCCGATTCGGCCTATTCTGTTGGAGTAGTGACAAATATCTATTCAGCTGTGTTATATTCTAATAAGCCTGCTTTATTGTCTTTATTTCAAAATTTACAAATACATGTTCAAAAAAGAAATCATTCTTATTTTATTACTCATTTACGTTCTCATTCTCAGTTACCCGGACCATTAGTATCAGGTAACAATACAGTGGATTCCTTAGTTATGTTCACCACACCCGTTGAAGAACATCAATTTAATCATGCAAATGCAGGACATTTGCATCTTAAATATAAGATACCTTTTACAAAAGCTAAACAAATTGTAAAAGCCTGCCCTATTTGTAGACCATTACATTTAAGAATTATTCCCGCAGGTGTCAACCCTCGAGGAACTCAACCTAATGAATTATGGCAAATGGATATTACACATGTACCTTCTTTTGGTCGGCTTTCTTATGTACATGTAGTTATTGATACCTATTCTTCATTTCTATGGGCTACTGCTCAACAGGGAGAATCCACTAAAAATGTTATTGTACATTTATTGGAGACTTTTGCAGTTATGGGAATTCCTTCTAAAATCAAAACAGATAATGGACCTGCTTATACTAGCAGAACATTTAAACAATTTTGTGATCTCCATAATATTATTCATATTACAGGGATTGAATATAACCCCCAGGGTCAAGCTATTGTTGAAAGAGCACATGGCACTCTTAAGTTGCAAATTAAAAAATTAAAAAGGAGGAGTCAGGAGGATATTCAGATACCAATACTGTTTAAATTGCAAAACAGTCCAAAAACATTACTGCATCAAGCATTGTTTATTTTAAATTTTCTCAATTTACCACAAGGTGAAATATTAACAAGAGCTGAAAAACATTTTGAACAGCAACAACAGCCTTTTGTGATTAATGAACCTATTTGGACTAAAACAGCTCCAGAGGCTGAATGGGAGAGGGGCACATTGCTCTATAGGGGGAAAGGTTTTGGTTATATCTCCACAGAAAATGGAATTCAGCAGTGGGTCCCTGGACGATGGATCAGGACCCGCGTCTCCAGATCCTGTTCACCAGCCCCGGAGACAACTCCCCAAGGAACCGGAACCGTGCCTTCAGAAGCGAGCGCGAAACCAGCTAGAAGCTGAGGATGCTGAGTTTGTTCCTATCGCAGCCATGGCCAGATTACAGCTAAGAAAATCCCGCCGCTCACAGCGACCAAATTTAAATCCCCTCCCTACATGGGGACAATTAAAGAAATTGACCATAGAAGGGCAACGGCTTGTCCTTCAAGCAGGAAAGCCTTTAAACCCCAAAAACTTGTTTTTAGCTTTATGTGCCTTGCTCACTGTTGCGTCGGGGACTGAGGTACCTCCACATTCGTACTGGGCATATATTCCAAACCCCCCTTTATTAGAACCTGTAAAATGGGGAACTAGTGATATTTTACTTTATACCACACCTAGAGAAATTTTGTCAGCACCGTGGGCTGATTTAACCCCCCACAATCAAGATGATGGGACACTATTCAATTTTACTTATTATGGTAATCAAAGGCCTATTTGCATTGGGGAACCGCCTTGCATCCCTCTGGGATGGCAGTATTGGATTCAACATGGAATAAAAGCAGGCAACAAAAGGACAAGGCTTCAAGCCTTGGCTGCTCAAACCTTTAATGTTACCTGGAGAAATTTAACAGCACCTGATACAAATACATTTCCTGTATGCCCTGAATTCACTTATAAAAATATTTCTTATAATCCCATAATTTGGCAACTATGTATGGGAAAATTTGCTAAAAATATTGATGGGTATATTATTTGGGGACCATTTGGAAAATTCGTTAATGGATGTGCTGAATGGAATGAGACAAGATGTAATCTCTCTGTTGTGTATAGTCTTCCAGATCCAAAGAAAATAACTGACGGAGCTCCTATATTTCAACAAAAGACGGCTCTCTTGTGGTGGGGAGATGGTGGAATCGCTAACCCTGCTGTTGCAGCCGAAGAATACCCTCATCACCTTCAAAATCATATTTGGAAGATCCCAGCCGCTATGCAACCTGTAACCTTGTACAATGTTTCATATTCAGGGACTAGTCGATCTGTATCTACTACTTATAATTTTACTAGGTTTAAAATGTATAATATTACTGTTTGTGCACCTCTGCCTTATGTCTTTTTAGTGGGAACTTTTAATTTTACACATTTTTCTTGTACTTGTTTAAATTGTCAATTGTTTACATGCTTAAATAACACACTAAATTTCACTAAGCCTTATACAGTTATGCTGTTACAACAAAAAACTCATATTTGGTTGCCTGTAAATTTAACTCGACCTTGGTCTCAAGACCCGGTAATTTCTGTTACTACTGAATTTTTTAAACATCTGTTAAAACGTACAAAAAGATTTATTGGAATAGTGGTTGCTGTACTGTTAAGTCTGATAACTGTAGCCTCTCTAGCAGCAGTCTCAGGAGTAGCTTTACAAACCTCTTTGCAAGAAAAACATGTTGTCGAATTATGGCATGAGAATTCTCATGAACTTTGGTTAACTCAGTGGCAGATAAACGCCAGACTACAACAACAAATAGACCTCCTTAAACAAACAGTTGAATGGATGGGTAGAAAAATATTGGCTCTTCAGCATCAAGTGTTTTTAAAATGTGATTGGAATTCAACTACTTTCTGTATAACCCAACGACCTTATAATCAGACAGAACATGAATGGGAAATGATTAGAATGTATTTAAATGGAAACACCTCTGCCCAGGAGGAAATAGAATCTTTGCATAATCAAATTGACAAGGATTTTGCAAAGCAAAATGATGATGAATCTCTAGCACAATTCGCGCAATTGCTTGCTCAATCTTTGAAAGGATTAGATTCCAAAGGAATCTGGCAGAGCATTACCCACACTTTTAGTGGCATGGGACTTAGTTTAATTATAGTTCTCATTGCCATAGTTCTTGTGTATTTTTACTGCATAAGACGAAATGCTATTAATAACCTGATCTTATGGAAATTGTTGTTAAAAAATAAAAAGGAAGGAAGTGTGGGGGATGAGGTGTCACTTTGTAGGCCCAACCCCCTCTAACCTGCAATTTACAATAGCCGCCCTGGTATGCGAGAAGGAGGTAGAACGGGAATGCCCGTTCTCAGTGAGCCCTCACCCTCTGGAATCCATACTGTGAGCTGGCTTTGTTTTGCAGAAGTCTTGAGGAAGTGGCTGGCCACCCTTTGTGACACTAACAGCAGACAAATTAACAACATTCTTGAGCTAATGAATTTCTTCCTGGGCTAGAGAAGTTGTGAGAACTGGTTGTGATTATTTACTTCACTTAGATAGTTTTAGAATAAACATTGTAGTCTGTCACGTTGTAGCTTGCCACAAAGAATGCCTTTTCACTACTTAATTATCTGGGCTCTGTGAATTGATCGGGTTTACTATATATGAATCCTAAAATAAAGATTGTGCGTACAGTGCAGTGCAGTGCAGTGTAACGCGGTGCAGACAGCAAAGGTGTCTCTCCTGTCTTTCTTTTCCAAGCGCTGTACCCCCCGTGTCCCGACAAGGCGTGCGTGTTTACCTTGCCCGGAGTTCAGAGTGCTCTAGACACTCACGACAGGGTGGGATAATCTTTTCAACACTAGAGACCCTTAATGGTCTTTCCCAGCTCTGCCAGGAGAACAAGAGGCCGTGAGATGAAAAATAACACAGAGAGGGCAGACAAGAAGTGATAGGGAAGTGGGGGGCATATGAGAAATTCAGGCTGTGGCAGACAAAGCTTTGGGAGCCCCAAGACCACACCATGCGGGGGTGACTGGTGAGCAGCAGCCCTGCTGTGCTCCAATAAGGGACATGCTCCATACTTCTGACCCTGCTCTGTCTGCAGGTGCCTACACCACAGGTGTGCACTGGTACACACGTGCGTGAGTTCACACCACAAGTTAGCCACACATACAGTTATATGGAAAACTTTCCCTGAGGCCTGGGACATGTGCACAGAGTAACAGGGCACACCCTGCACACCCACAGCAGCCCCTCTGGCCTTAGATGTCCAGCCTTTCTGGGGTCACAGAAGCTGCGATGAACCCCAGCTGTGTCCTAAGACAATGGTTCTCAAAGTGGATTCCTGGATCAGCAGTATCAAGGTCACCTGGGAACTGGTTAGAAATGCTTTGGGTTCTATCTTCTCCCTCTGACAGAGCCCTGAGCTGTGTGTGGGGCTCCTTTGGAATTATAAACTTGTGTCATGCATTTTTGTGCCATTTCCTGTAAGAAATACACTTTTACACACATTATTTCATTTAAAACTCACAAATACACTGTGAGAAGTACACTATTTCTTCCCTGTTCTTTTCTGATGGGGTAGTTAGCTCCCCTAGCTCCCTCCAGCTCCACCTGCAGCTGCGCTGGAACCCAGATCTCTGCACTCTTGGCACGGGAGAAGTTTCTCGTCATCTGACTGCACCCCCACTGTTGGAAGCACCCTAAGACTCCCTGGATGTTCTGAATCTCCCACTGACACGTTGTCTTAGAACGATTGAGAAACTTGCTCCAGGTTACCAGGCTCAGGCTCCCAAGTGCAGACTCGGATCGCTTTCTAGATGCAGCTCCTGTCCCGGCCTGAATGTAAACACAGTTGAACCCTCCTCGTGCCACCCCACACACACGCCGTGCCAATTTCCCTGCAGTATCTCTGTGCCGCACAGCCAGCCCTAAATTTCCCAAGACAAGGCCTGGCCATCCAAGCAGGGGGTGGGACGAGGGCGGGAGAGCAGCCCCACCCCAGGAGCAGGCAGCCCCACTGCCAAGCTCTCGCCCGCCTGCGCCACCGGAGAGCTGCTGGGAGGCAGTGGCCACGGGCAGGCAGCTGAGGGCTGGGATCCCCCACCCTGATAGGAACCCCAAATCCTAGATACAGCCTGGTCCCAGTTGGCCTGTGGGATTTACAGGCCATTTACTCTGTACTTGCGTCTCGTGTCAAATGTTTCCCGAGTAGCATTACGAGAGATGTGGGTTCGAATTCTAACTTCTCGCCTACTTCCTGAGTGATCCCAGCTGATCACGACCCCTTGCAGGGTCTTGGTCTTTCATCTCTTGGGTGAAGAGGCTCAGCTGATGATTTATGAGGATATCTCCTGTTCTGAAACTGTGATTTGGATTCTAGACCTCCACATGAGTTTCCAGAGGCCTTGCCAGGACACAAGAATCTGACGTGACAATGGCTTTGGACCAGACTTTCTGCTCAGCCCAGCTCATCTTTGCTTGAGACGTAGGTGTGGTCCCGGGGCTGGACAAGCCTCACTTTGATCTGTTCCTCTCTCCACCCCCTAGCTCCATATACTCAGAGGATTTCTCCTCCACAGCAAAACCGGGAGGAATCCCAAGCCCAGCAGCAGCCATGGGGGCCTGTGTCATCGTGACCAACACCAACATCTCGTCTGGTCTTGAAAGCAACACCACGGGCATCACAGCTTTCTCCATGCCCACCTGGCAGTTGGCACTGTGGGCCACCGCCTACCTGGCCCTGGTGCTGGTGGCTGTGACAGGCAATGCCACAGTCACGTGGATCATCCTGGCCCATCAGAGGATGCGCACGGTCACCAACTACTTCATCGTCAACCTTGCCCTGGCTGACCTGTGCATGGCTGCCTTCAATGCCGCCTTCAACTTCGTCTATGCCAGCCACAACATCTGGTACTTCGGCCGTGCCTTCTGCTACTTCCAGAACCTCTTCCCCATCACAGCCATGTTCGTCAGCATCTACTCCATGACGGCCATCGCCATCGACAGGCAAGAGGGGACACAGGGAAGCTGGGGGTAGGGCAGCTTGCTGGATCCGTGTGCCTGGCCTGTGGTCACACAGCAAGCTGGGGGGCAACCAGGGACCTGCCTCCCTGGTTGGACCTCCCAAACGTGGGCATGATTCAGACTGATGGATCTTGAAGTTGGGGACTGCAGAATCAAAGCAGGCAGAGTTAGACCCAGGAAGAGCCTGGCACTGGGTGACTATTGCAAGCCGTAGGGGACAAGCAGTGTTATGGGGACCTCTGGCATGTTCTTCTCTGAAACCGCCTTTGCTTGGTGTCCTTCTGTCACTACAAGGAAATTGTACATACTGTTTTTCTGTTCCAGACATGTTATAGGTAGGAAAGTTCACTGTTGCATGTAGTTTGCATCTAGATATAGCAGGGTCACTCATCTGCCGAATGCTGCTTTTCGTGGTGCAGAGTGTGACCTCCTGAGGAGGGGGCTTGGAACAGGGGTGTGGAGGAGTTAGAGGTGGCTTTTGAAAGCTGTGGCAGGGATGGTATACTTAGGGAATTGGAGTGCAGCGACAGAAACAGGAAGAGAGGTGGGAAAGGTGATGAGGTGGGGGGCCAGGTTGAGGAGGCTGTGACTCTCAGACGGACCCCTGATCAAGGTGAGGTGTGAGCCTCGATATCCCGCCACATCCCCAGCCCATCCCACTGTCCCGGCAGAAGTTGTCACCGCAGCTCCTCACTGTTGGCAAGGGCTGTCCTACTCCAGGGTGTTCCCAGGGACTTCATTAGGGAAATTTTATCCCCTAGTTAAAAATGGCAAATTTGCACACCATTCATTTAAGCCTGACTTCTAGCTTTACAGCCAGGGACACTGAGGCTAGAGATTGGCAGGATCATCTGATGTCGCAGAGAAAGTCAGGGGCAGAGACAGAGGCCCAGAACCTAGCCCCCTGGGGTGTTGTCGAGGGGAAGAAGTAACCGCACCACGTTGCTGCACTGCAGTACTATCAAAGGTAATCTCACACCTACACTCCGTGGGTTTTAGGGGCCTTGTTGGTTTTTGCAGTAATGGAATTTTTATTTTTTTGCAATGAGGTCTCACAGTGTAGTTTAAGGCTGGCCTTGAACTCACTGTGTAACTCAGCTAACCTGGAATTCACAGCAATCCTCCTGCCTCCGCCTCCCATGTGTTGGGATTACGGGTATGCACCATCATGTTCAACTGCAGTAATGGGGACTGAATCTAGATTCTTGCTTTTTCTAGACAAATACTACCTCTGAGCTACATCCCAGCACACCCCCGCCCCCACCATTTTTCTGAATATCTCACTAAGATTTCTTTTCTTCCATGGAACAAATATTTGAGTGATTAGTCTGTATCAGGCCCAGTTCCAGGCATCAGGGATGGGGCAACATTTGGGGAAAGAAAAAACCTCAAATTCCCTACCTTACAGGGCTTCCATCTAAAGAATGGGGTAGGCTGCAGAGGGCCAAGTGGAGGCCAGAGGACCAGACAGGATGCAGGGGAAGGTAGAGGTTCAGATCAGCTGACTTACCCATTTAACAAATATGTGTCCAGGTCCTTCTGTGAACAGGTACTATTCTGGGTGTGGCATGTAAATACGCCTTTCCTGGTGGGAATTTAAATCATAAGGCCATGAACAAAAAAAAATTCTGTTGGGGCTGGGGATTTAGCTCAGTGGCATAAGCACTTGCCTTGCAAGTAGGCAGTCGTGAGTTCGATCCCTGGTACCGATAAAAAGGAAAAAGACAAAAAAAAAAAAATTCTGTTATATCTGAGGTTATAAGTGCCATTTAAAATATAGCAAGTCAGGTACAGTGGCATACCTCTGTAATCCAAGCACTCAGGAGACTGAGGCAGGAGAATTAGCATGAGTTTGAAGCCAGTCTGGGCTATGTAGTGAGGTGAACACCAGCTTGAACTACATAGTGAGATTGTGTCTCAAAAAACCATTAAAAAAAAAAGTGAAAAGAAAGGGAACTCAAGGTGCCAGCCAGATTGTCTTGTTGGATGAAAGTCAGGACAAGTCTCATTGTGAGAACAGCTTTGGGCAAAGATGAGAGTGCATGCCTGGGTGACAGCTCATGACTGGATGAACACTCCAGACAGCAGGCGAGATCGAAATGCTTGCTGGGCAGAGTCAACGTCCATGTAATACCCAAGATGCCACTGTACTGTGAACTTTCCTGCTTTTCAGGGGCCACATATGTGAGGCCACATTACTTGCTTTGTTCCATGGCCCAGATTAATCCAGGGAGGAAGGTCATGCAACCGGAAGCCATTTCTGGTGATGGAAAGGAGGCAAATAGGAATGATCGTGCTCTCCAATCCTCAGCTGCCCCAGGGTGCACTTCTGGAGCTCCTTCTTCCTTCACTGACAGCCCTAGGGCAAAAACTCTTAGGATCAGGCCCCAGAGGAAGAAATAGAAGTCCAGAAAGCTAAGGCTGCTCTCGAACCTGCTGCCAGAAAGCCCTGGAGCTGGAGTCCAGTGGGGATCCATCAGGATCCACAGCCCCGGGCCCTGCCCCGGTACTGACAAGGTGTGCATTCTGTCCTCCTTCCTACCACATCCTAGGACAGCGGGAGCCTGTGTTCCTGAGTGACCCTCATCCCCTGTGACTCTGCAGCATTTTATGGGGCACAGGTACATCCACAGGCCAGGAGGACAACAGTGTGTCACAGGGACAGTGGAGGGGAGATTCTCAATCTGGTGGTTCAGGTGTCCCTAACTTGTGGCCATGGACCATGGGGAAGAACCAGAAGGCTCGTGAACTTGCGCACGGACAAGAAAGTCACAATTTCAAATGTAGACTGCAGAGCAGTTTGCCACGATGCAAGCAGAGCTTGGGGCTTTGGTACCAATAGAACTCAGAGGTGCTTGTGTTGTTGCAGAAATTGTGAGCTGGGCATGGTGGCACACACCTGTAATCCCAGCATTCGGGAGGCTGAGGCAGGTAGGTCATAAATTCAAGGCTAGCTTGGAAATTTAGGGAGACCCTGTCTCAAAACAAAAAGGGCTGAGGGGGGTAGAGTGCTTGCCTAGCATATTCAAAGGTCAGGCTCAAAGCCCAGAACCCTTCTCCTCTGTGAAGACCCGAACATATCACCTGTGGTCATCATGACTTCAAATTTGCTGCAGATTCCAGATTTGCTAGGTGTGGTGTAGTGGGCTGATAAAAAAGCAGGGGCGGGCAGACAGTCTGAGGATTTAGCTCAGCACTGTAAGTGCCTGTATGGCTGGCATGAGGTTGTGAGTTTGATCCCTGGTACAGAAAAAAAGTGCAGACATTAAATGTTTCAAGTTTATTTGCATTTTGCTAACTGAATTTCTATATGAATCATGTTCTTGGAGTAGGACCTTTGTTCACAAGAGCCTTTGGATCTTTTGCTCTTTGAGAAGCAAGCAGCTCACCCCCCTCAGCAGGGGTCCTAGACCCACGAGGCCTCAGCCACACAGGCTCAGACCCAGGCCCACAGGCTGTGAGGGGCCTGGAAAGCCAAGGCAGCCACCCAGGTCAGAGGGCTCAAACCCACCTTGTGCCTTCTTGGCCTCTATCTGACGGACACATCAGTCCCTGCCTAAGACCACTGGGCCCAGTACTGCCCACATCCCCAAAGACAGGAACACAAGGCAAGCCTGTTGTGGCTGACTTCACCAGGAGAAGCCATTTCGCAAGGACCCTGACCAATACAGAAGCAGCAGGAGCTCCAGGCTGAGAGGGGAGGCAGCACCACATAGAGGACCACTCTGGGCTATTCCCTGAGCACAGTGAGCCTGGGAAGGAAGGGGAAGCAAAGGCATGGGCTGGAAAGTGCACTGGCCACACACAGAAGGCCTTGGATGCCGAGTTCAAAGGTCTGGGTCTGCACTGTCCAATGTGTGCCTATTTAAATTCACACTGATTACCGTGTAAAGCCACACTCCCAGAGCTCTGCTCTGCATCGCCCTTAGTACCGAACAGGATGGCGCATATGCAGAATATTCACACCACTGCGGAGAGTTCTGGCAGGCACTGCTGCTCTAGGCTTCATCCAGGAAACAGAAAAGATCTGTGCTGGGGTTTCTGATGCAGGCGGCTTGGCATAGGGCCAGACTCAGATCAGGCTGAGTGCAGGTTGATTTCATCCAGGCCTGCCCCGGACTGGCCTTCAGTGAGACCACACAGCATTCCATGCCCAGAGGGTCAGAGAATGGGTTTCAGTAGCATGCAATGTGATCAGGGAGGGTCACTGGCCCAGCGGGCTCTCTGCAAGTCGGCTTCCACTCCAGACCCTGGCAGCAGCAACATGGGAAGGAGCTGGGGTGTGGCCAGGGAAGAGGCAAGGAAAGGGCAGTTGGATGGGAGGCACCCACTACTCACGCTGAACTCTGCCCGCAGGTACATGGCCATTGTCCACCCTTTCCAGCCACGGCTGTCGGCCCCCAGCACCAAGGCAGTAATTGGCGGCATCTGGCTGGTGGCCCTGGCCCTTGCCTTCCCCCAGTGTTTCTACTCTACCATCACTGAGGACGAGGGCGCCACCAAGTGTGTAGTGGCCTGGCCCGAAGACAGCAGGGACAAGTCCCTGCTCCTGTAAGTCCTGGGGCAGGGGATGTGCATGCTCATGTGTGTGTGTGTGTTAGTGTCTACGTGTGTGCAAGTGCTTGTGGATGTGCATACACATTATTACATAAGCATCATTTCTGCTGAGGCTCCTCGGCTCACTACCGGGTCTGAATACAGCCATCAGATCAGACCACATAACACCAACCTGGGAAAACATCCAAATTCAAAACTCAAAGTACACTTTCTACTGAGTATCTGTTGCTTTTGCACCATCATAAAGTCACAAACTCATTGGGTCAGGACATCTTAAGTTTGGAACCATCTATACTAAAAGTAACACTAGGTGTCAGGCCGTTCTAAGCACTTTATGGGTATGAACCCATTTCATCTTCCTAACATTACCCAGCACGTATTATTACAATGATTCCATTTGGGGATGGGGTAACTGAGGCACTGAAATATTAAGGATTGTGTCCATAACTAGGACGTGGCAATGCAGGGACTCAAGGCAGGCAGCCCTGCCTCCAAGCCAACCTCCTAGCTACTCTGGCCTCTAGGGACTCATGCCCTGAACACAGACTGTGTCCAGTGTGCACAGAGTGGCACAGGTCTGCCCATCACACTCGTGCTGTACCCACTCTTGTGTGTGTGGATGGGTGTGGTGTAGATGTGTGCACACAAGCATGTGTTAGTGAATGTGTATGGAGGAAGGCTCTATGTAAACTCAGCCCACAAAGGGTCAGGAGATCCTGGCACAAAGGATAGGGTATGGAGCCTGGGCCTGCTTCCTGCTGAGCTGGGCACCACAGGCTTGGAGGGAGCAGAAGGAGAACTTAACAGCGCCCAGCTGCAGGGTGACCTGGTTTTGTCTTTTCTGCATTCTGGGCCTGTTTCTGAGGCTCTTGCAGTGTGGCTTTGGGATCCCCAAACATCGCACCCTTGGTTAATGGAAGATAAAGTTGATGGAAGCCAGGCATGGTGGTACATGCTGGTAATTCCAGCACTCTGGGAGGCTGAGGCAGGAGAATCACCAGTTCAATCCTAGCCTGGGCAATTTAGCAACCTAGCAAAATCCTGTATCAAAAAGAAGTACTGTGGAGCTCAGTGTAAACGCTCTGAGCACAATCCCCACTACTGAAATGGAAGGAAGGAAGGAAGGAAGGAAGGAAGGAAGGAAAAGAAAGAAAGAAAGAAAGAGAGAGAGAGAGAGAGAGAAAGAAAAGAAGGAAGGATGAATCAACTGAGGTTTTGGAGTCAGCAGCCAGTCCAGGTTTTGGCCTGCCCCTCTCAGCCTCAGAGCTTCATAGCCAGTCTCTCTGAGCCTTTGGTTCCTTCTCTCCAAAAACGGGAACTAGTGATAATGGGTTTATGAACACGAAGCCCTTAGTGCTGCATCTGGTACAGAACTGATGCCCAGCGTGCAGTAAAGAGGAGACAAGAGAAAACAAACCCAGAGGTGCCGTTTTTAGTCCAACAAAGCCCCAGCTGCCCCAAGCCTGAGAATGTGCATGACCTTAGGGAAGATAACAGCACCCCAGTTAGTACGCACCCTACCTGGGCCCCAAGGGTCACAGCACGGCATAACTGTAGCGTGGGGTTCTTGCACTCTGTGCTGGAGATGTGGCCATCCACTGAGCAGCCTGTACTAGGGAATGACAAATCCTGGTGACAGGCCCTGCCCAGAGTCCCTGTGCCCACTGTAACTCAGCAGGGTGGGGTCGAGAGAGGGAAGGAACCGTTTCTAGCACAGAGCCAGGTGGTGAGCAGAACATTTTGGACCTGGCCCCTGGACAGTGGGGGAGCAGTGTTCCATCCTTTGTAGGAGTTTTTACGCTGGGAGGAATCACTTAGAACACCCAGGATCTACCACTGGGGTTAAACACAGGCAACAGAGAAAACAAGGGGTCAGGGTGGGCTAGGAAAGCCATTCTGGAAGGGGCATCAGGAAATGACAGCTGCCTCCCCTCCAGGAAAATGCACATTTACCCCCCAAACTGAAACTAGAAGCACAGTCCCCACCTGAGGAGAGGCCTCCCCGACTGGCAGATTCTAGAGGGCGATCTTCAACCCTCCCCAGCTCTCCCTGCGGTGCAGACACTGGGCCCAGAGTGAATTCCCAGCCTGCAGTGTCCCCACGAAATAATAAAGTGCTGCTCACGCTTGGCAAGGATTGAGATTACTTCCTTATTTTATCGATGGGGAAACAGACTGAGGGAGAAACACGACTTACCCACTATGATACTTTAAATTAGAGGCTGGACAAGAGCCCTGTTCTACTGAAAGGATCTTAAGTGTGGGAAGTTGTTCCCTATGCAGACTTCCTGCCTCTCCCTGGGCCTCAGCCCCCACCCTGGACACTGAGGTGGGTGGCCTGGTTTAGTTCTGAGGTCTTTTCTAGTTTAGTTTCTTTTCTTCTTCCTCTTCCCCTTCTTTTGACAAGGCTTTGCTAGGTCCCTAAATTTCCCAGGCTGGGCTTGAACTTGACATCCTCCGGCCTCAGCTTCCAAGCAGGCTGGAATTAGAGGCACAGGCCACCAGGTCTGGTTCATTTATTTTTCTTTAAATCAAACCAAGGCCCCTGGAGGTGGCCCAGGGTAGGGCTGCGGGTAGAAGCTGCAGGGTCCTGCTCCAAGCTCAGATGTTAGAGTCGCCCCGGGCCGCGCGCTGCCCAGGCCCCTAACTGTCCCTCCAGGTACCATCTGGTGGTGATCGTCCTCATCTACCTCCTGCCGCTCACTGTGATGTTTGTGGCCTACAGCATCATTGGCCTCACGCTGTGGCGGCGCGCAGTACCCAGACACCAGGCGCACGGCGCCAACCTGCGCCATCTGCAGGCCAAAAAGAAGGTGAAATCAGGGACCAGGCCGGGCACAAACCGGGGGAGGGATCTGGCCTCGGGCGGGGTCCGAGAGGAGGAGGGGAGAATGACGGGAGGGGAGGGGAGGAGAGGGGAGAAAAGGGAGGGGAAGAGGAGGGGGAGAGAATGAGAGAGGGAGAGTGGCGAGGAGAGGGCGGGGCAGGGAAAGGGAGAGGGGAGGGCGGGGCGAGGAGAGGGGGAGGGGAGGGCCGGAGACAGGGATCCCTGGGCGGGGCCGGGGCGCAAAGCAGCCTCCGGGAGCATTGTATCTGCCTGTAGTTTGTCTCTATGCCAAGCTTGGCCCCCAGCCTGAATTCCTTCCTCTCCAGCAGGTGAGGGGGCAAATACAAAGTTAAAGTATCTTAGAGTGACAGTATCTTAAAATAGTAGAATTTTGAATAATTGGAATGTTGGATTTTGGAAGCCCCTTGGAGTTCCTACAGGAGTTCTCCTGGATAGAATCTCAGAGCATCCTCAGGTGCTGAAATGACCAACCTTAGAGACCTGGAGGCCGGTTTACAGTCTGGTTTCTCCAAGTCTGTCCTTGAGTTCTGTACGACATGCCAGTATGACATGCCAGTATCTCCCCCTTCTCCTCGCCATCCAGGGCCCTAAAGTTTGCTGCTTATGTAGCATTCTATGATGCAGGCTTACTCTGCTCTCCCTCAAGAAAGGCGGCACCCCTTTTTGGTCTAGGCAAGAGGACTCGACCCTGGGGGAATCACAGCATGTAGCCGGTCAAAGTCATGGCCTCTCCCAATAGTAGGGGATTTTCCAGGGCTGTTCTAGGAGGCTGCTGGGCATCGCATCCCTTCAGGTATCCTACTCCTGGAGAGCTGCTCTCCATTTGCCATCCAGCTTACCTTCTGTCCTTTCTGGGGTGCTGAGCAGTACAGACTGTGTCTGTAGAGGCCCAGCATTTGCGGTTGGGCATCTGAGGATCAAGGACTTGCCCTCTGGGAGGAGGGTCAGAGTCGCTGTTTGGACCTCAGTGCCCATGGACAAAAAGGCTATAGCAGCTACAGATCCCAGCCAGGTTGCAGCTTGGGACCCCAGAGTGGGATAGGAGAGCCTCAGGGTAGGGTCAGGCAAGAGAGCTTACCCACTCTTGGAAGGAGAACTGTTGAGGAAAGGGATTTGGGAAGGGAGGGTCGCTCAGCTGGGCTGCTAGGTGTGGTGACTTCAAGGACAGACAGTGGAATGAGTAGAGGGTCAGGCCTGTGCAAAGGACCTGAGGGAGGCTCGGGAGCCTGTGGGGAGCAGTACTCTGGAAGGGTGGGGCTTGGCCTCAGGGCTGAGGTGTGACCAGAGACTCTCCTGGAGCAGTTTGTGAAGACCATGGTGCTGGTGGTGGTGACATTTGCCATCTGCTGGCTGCCCTACCATCTCTACTTCATCCTGGGCAGCTTCCAGGAGGACATCTACTGCCACAAGTTCATCCAGCAGGTCTACCTGGCGCTCTTCTGGTTGGCCATGAGCTCCACCATGTACAACCCCATCATCTACTGCTGCCTCAACCGAAGGTGGGCCCACCTTGGCTCCCCCTCGCCCCCAACCTGTAGCCACGGACAGGACCTACAAGGCCTCCCACTGCCCGCATCTCCACTGTCTCCTCTGGGGTCTACATCTGGGACACGAAGGCAGGACCAGAAAGATGGAAGGGAGTAGTAGAGAGGGCCAAAAGGACAGAGTGGGAGGAGAAAGAATTAGGTGAGAGGAGAGCTGGCTGCTTCTCTTGATGTTTTCAAGTTTCCTCCTGAGGACTTGCCTGGGTCATGTGAGCAGCAGCTGCCTGGCACTGCTTGGCCTCAGTGCCCACCAGAAGCACCAGCGAGGAGGCTGGAGGCAGGATGGGGAGTCAGTGCATTTCCTCCCCTCCTGCAGAGCTAGGAAGTGACTTCGGCAGAGATGGCCCGGAAGCGGGGACCAAGGTCTCTCTCCTCAGCTGCTTTTCCCCACTGGTGCTCCTGGGGAAGTGGTGTCTAAGGGCATTTGGCATCTGCTTTGGGGCCTTGGAGCTAGTGAGCAAGGCGGGAGCTGTTCTCAGCCAGGGAGGCCCACAGTTGAAGTGGGTAATAGGGGCCAGGCTAAGACTGAGCCAAGACTGGTCAGGATCCCAGGCTACTCAGCGCCACTGGGGTCTTTGGTGTTTAGATATCACACTCACCTGAGGAAGGCAGGCAGGAAGTGAGGGAACTGATTCTTGGAGAACTTCCTGGGGGCTCAAGCTGCTAGAAAGCATTTGGGTAGCCCCAGGACACAGTTGAGGAGTCAGCCTGAGAGAGGACTCTCCAAAGCTCCTACACGGACGACAGAGCCAGGAATCCACACAGCGCTGTCTCCACGGCCTGTCATCCTGTCTGCCCATACACAGTTCTCACACCACTGGGGGAGAAGGTGGGGTGGGGGTGGTCCCATCAGGAAGGGTAGCCCACCACACAGTCCCCCCCCACTCCGTGTGTGAGCAACACCAACACCCCTGGGCTCTGCACGGTCCTGCAGTCACCTCTGAATCATTCACACGTGATGGCACCGGCGATCACAGAGGTCTGGGCCTGTGGCAAGACAGGCAAAGCTTTATATTTGAACAAAGGCACAAGTAACTGAGTCAGCCCCACGGACTGGCAGGAGAATTCTGAGGGAAAAGGAGAGGGACAGCTAAGTGGCAGCCATGTGATTGAGGTAAGGCTGTGGGCTCTAACAGGGGGACATGGGCTCTAATGGGACACAGCGAGAGGCCCGGTTATGGCTTCAGGGAGAGGCAGTTTCCATTCTCTGGGATGCAGTCGAGGTCCAGACACAGCTAAAGCCTTGGCAACCGCATGTGCAGAGGTGGTGGCATGTGCAAAGCAGGGTGACTCCGGGGCCACTGGGCTGGGTGGTGGGAAGGGTGAAACTGCAAGGAGCTGAGGTTTGGAGTAAGAGCACGTGGGTATGGGGCGGAGGCCACTTGAGGCTCCAAATAGGCTCTGGAGCCACACTGTGGGGTCCTGTAGAGCCATTTGGCAGGTGGCTGTTTTGGAACATGGAACCCTGCAGCCCAGGTGGTGACAGTGTAGTCCTGTACCCTCCCACCTCTCTCGTTGGGGTCTGCCTTGAGCAGCCACCTTCCCATGCCAATCCTTTCCTCCCCACTGCAGCCAACACCTGGCCATCTGTGCTCCATGGGGACAGTTAGTTTTTAAGCAAATGTACCCAAACCTGAGCAGTCCCTTGGAAGAGCATTTTTGAGCCCCACTTTTCTTTTTAAAGACTCCCCTCTGAATACTTCTCTAGAAGCCAGCTAACAAGTCAAACAAGAAAAATTTGCTGTTCCTTTGTAACTCTATGTAGGATCTTTTTATTTGTAGTAACAAATAGCCAAGGTCAGCTTAATCACCCTTTTCAATCACAGATGAAACTCCAGAATACTTCTGGCAGAAATCCAACCCATGAAGGAACCCGTCTCTCAGAGGCAATGGTGGCCCTTGGGAGTGAGCTGCTGCTTTTATCTGGAGGAGAGATGGTGTCTGGGGTGGGCTGTCACATTATGACTCCTGTACCCCTAATTCCCTGGTTGGGGTGACCCTCCTCCCCTCAGGTTTCGCTCTGGATTCCGGCTGGCTTTCCGGTGCTGCCCGTGGGTCACACCGACCGAGGAAGATAAGCTGGAGCTGACTCACACTCCATCCTTCTCCTTGAGGGTCAATAGGTGTCACACCAAAGAGATTTTGTTTATGGCTGGGGACACGGTACCCTCTGAGGCTACCAATGGGCAGGCTGGGGGTCCCCAAGACAGGGAGTCTGTAGAGCTCTCAAGTCTTCCTGGCTGCAGGGCAGGACCTAGCATCCTTGCAAAGGCATCCAGTTGAAGACCGGATCTGAAAGCTTGGCCATGCCTGCCCTAATTTAATCCACTAGTGGGAAGCAAGATGGCCCCAGGAACTCTACAGGGGGATGCAAGCACTAAGAGGACTCAGCTACCCATCTCAAGGTCCAGGGATCCAAAAACGTCAGAGAAGACTGTGAAGCCAGCACTTTCCCAGGGCAGAAGCCACAAGCTCAAATGTCTTCCTGGGCATACAACATAATGAGTAAATTAGATGTAGCACAAAAGAAAAACTGCAAACATGAAGATAAAAAGCAACAGACTTGCAGCCTCAGTGCTGGGGTTATGGAAAGGCAGGGACTGGGATATACATTCAAGAGACCGGCTGCTCAGTGTCCCACAGCTGCGGTAATGTACGATAGGGATGTAAGGTCATGGAAGCCCACTGTTGCCAGATCTTCCAAGAACAGCTGGAAGTCCAAATTTGCATGCGAGAACCCTCTGGATTTGCTACTTCTGGCTCACAAAAATGTCTGTGGGCAGCACACAGCCATGCCACTAATGCATTATGGGACTACAGAAGGAAAGAGCCACCTTACTTTGCAAAGTCCACCCACTAACAAGTCAACCTGGGATTTCTCTGCTTTGGAATCTAAGAGGTGGAAAGCCACCCTGAGTAGATGTGGCTAAGAGTCAGGAAACCTCAGCTGTGCCTTGGGCAAGTCCGTCTGACCCCCAGCCTCTTCTGCCCAGTGGCAAAAGTACCACTCAGGGCTGCTCTGAGGATCAGTGGAACTGATGCCTACGAACTCACAGGCCACACACGGACTGTATTCAATAAACCATGGCCACGCTTATCTTTACTCTGCCAACCAGCGACCCAGCTCCCACCTCACTTCGGCAGCAAGAAGCCAGCAGGCAGAGAACTATCCAGGTCCTGTAATGCGCCAGGCTTGGCCTAGTCCAGCCACAGGCACGGCTTTCCCCACACAAATTTCCAGGGCCCCTGCAGAACCGTGTGCCGCTGTAAATGCACACCAAGTCAATGTCAGCTGTGTTCTCCACAGAGGTCACTGTGTTAAACACTGGCACTACAGGTACCTCAATAAAACTCTGATCTCACCAAGCTGGATGGGGATGCAGTCAGTGCTGGGGGAGCACTTAGACTTGCCGTCGTGGCTGGGACACTGTGGGGCACCAGGGTGTACTGATTTTGAAAGCTCCTAATGGGCTCCGGGAAGAACCCAGAATGTCAGTCTTGGGCTGGAATAGCCTGAGGGGTGGGGTGAGAGGGTCAGGCAGGGACTGTTAAGATGGGGAGGGGACAGCACAGCAGCCCTGCTCTGGGGTCACCGCCACAGTGCTGGGGCATAGTTATTGGCTGTCCTGTGCAGCCAGGAGGGAGGTGAGCCTGCACCTCCTTATTGGGGGTGGTGAAAGCTACGTGGTCCTCTCTGTAAACCCAAGCAGTCCCTGGAGGATGCTTCCTTTTGCCTGTGCTCTGGCAAGTACAGAAGACAGAGGCCTCTGGTCTGCCCCTTCATTTGGGGTCTTTGAGTGAGGACTGCAAAAGGCTGGGGCAGGAACAGCAATGGGCAGGGGAGGTGCTGGAGGCCACATAACAATGTGGGACACTGCAGGAACAGTAAAGAAGTCCTCATGCTCAACCAAGGCAGAGGGGCTGATGGCCATAATCTTTATTTTAAACTTTCCCCACCCACAAAATTCCCCAGCTTCTGGTTTTCACTACATTCCAGGATCTCCCCTCAGCCAGCCAGGAGGCATCACTCAGGTTCTTGAATCAGTACAAAGTTTACTAGGTCATACAACATGGCTCACAAAAGCGATAGGAATTCCAGTGACGCGTTGTGGTGGGTTGGCTCCTTCTACCCAAATGGAGACAAGATACCTTCCCGCAGGACTGCCCACCTCCCCCCACAAGACACACAGACTGCAAGACTGTCACAATGTGGCGAGGACTGGTTCCACAGACACACAGTTTAGTGGCACTGACCCACCCTGACAGGATGCCAGGCCAAGGTGGCTGCTGGGACAGGGGGAAGCAGTGATGTCCACACTTGCTCCACAGGCCATGCCCCCAGGAGCAGAGTCCGGCAGTGTCTGCTGGTGATAATACACTTCACCCAGGTAGGCGACCCCAAGGACGGGCTTTGGAGGCCCCAAGGCCTGTCTGGTGGTGTAACTTTTCATCTGAGCCAACAGACAACCCGGCTGATGGGCACCAGTGGTAGAAATGGATGGCGCTACACTTCACATGTGGGGAACGCACGACCGGGCTGAAATCAAATCATGCAGTGTGGCGGGGCAGGTGAGGGGTCCAGGTGAGAGATTATCAACAGCACACACTCTATGTTGTACCCTACGTTATACACCATTAGTTGGATTCTCTCTTCCTCCCTGCTGCAGTGTGGCGGGCTCTGGCGCCGGGGGTGTTCCCAGCATGGCTCGCTGGAAGGAACAGAGGGTTGTCGCTTTTGGAGAGAGGTGCTGGAAGGACGGTGGGCTGGGGGTCCTGTGCTCTTAGCTGCTGCCTTCTCCTCGGAGCCGAACTCCCACAGCCGTGATGAGGGCAGCCCCCTTGCCACTACCGTCTTCAGACAGAAGGAAGGACACGTTACACTTTGGTGCCAGTTCCTTCACAGTTTGGTGCATGATTTTGGAGAAGCTGAAAAAGACAAAAAAGAAAAGAGACAGAGAGGGAGGGAAGGAGAAGGATAGTGATAGGGATAGAAGGAGGGAGAGGGGGAGAAAGAGAGAGAGAGAGAGAGAGAGAGGTTGGTGTATGGAGCTGAGGGGCAACTTGGGCCTACTAAAATCACTCAAGCTCCATGGCCAATCCTGTCTCCACAGCGTCCAGCTAGGAGGTACAACCCAGGGTTGTACTGCATAACTTAGGAGGCAAGGCTCAGACACCTCCACCTCCCAGGGATCACTAAAGCAGACCCAGGGTGGTCAAGCACTGGGCAGGCTCAGGAGGCAACATGGGAAGAGACATTACCCATCCTAGCTGCAGCCCTGAGACCCCACCCAGAACTGCCCACAGCCTGGCACCCGCACCTGCAGCTGAGAGGGAGCCCTCCAGCAAGGGGTCATCTTTAAGTCAGAGGTGACTCTGGGTTCTTGCACATGACGAGAGGGAGGCCAGTCCCTAGCCTTCCCTGCCTCGGGACACAGGGCCAGCACTGTGCCGGCCCTTCCAAGTTGAGACAAGCTGATTTTGCAGGTGTACGAGCCACCTGGTCCTCCTCCTCTCTTCTTCATGTCCTCTCCAAACTTAGGGAAGGCAGCCTTGTTACCTGGCTGCAGCTGTAAATCCACACCATCTCCTGTCCCACACCATTCACTTCAGAGGGGACCAGGAGAAGTAGGGAGGGTCTTTGGTGCCCTCGGTAAGCCTCTGGACAAACTCTAGAGCTGCTTATTGTCCCAGAAAGGGCTCAGTCCCAGCAGGAATTTCCTCAGATACCCTACGGAATTTCCCTAGGAGAACCACACCACAAAGCCCAAAACCCCCAAAGAACTCGCCAGCCCAGCAAGCCCATCTCAATTGGAAGCCCCACTCACTGCGGGTGAAGCTTGTAGAGCGTCCCATCCACCCCCACAGTCACATTCAGATGGTTCAGCCCTCTGTTCTCCCGGATCTTGTCCACCACCGCAGCCATGCCCGCGCCGCACAGCTGCGCAGCCCTCCGGGACACCACTCCGCACACCATCTTGACGAGGATACTGTCATCACACGTGCTGTTCAGACCCAGCTGCTGCAGGATGGCCCGGACCTGGAGCAGCGCTAATCGGTCACTGTGGTAGACAAAAGCCAGGGGGTGGGGTGAAATGGGGCCCACTCCAAAGTTCTGACCCCGTATCCCTATGAAGTTGTTTAACCATCTGCAGTCTCAACACCTAGAAAAATGCTATTAACATTTCAGTACATTTCCTTTCAGTCAATTTTCATAGACGTTAAATAGCAGTGTTATAACTTAGATCTAAAATAGCCCCTAAAATTCTCCGGTGTGTGCAAGATGACTGGGTTGGAGGGCACTGCACCCAACAGTGGATTTACCCATCAGTAAGCTGGCAGCTCAAAGTACTACTGGGACCTGGGGCCTGGTACAGAGGTGGCCGCTGTGGTGTCCTGAGAGGATGGAGTCGCATCCCCAGCTCCTTCCTTCCTTCCTTCCTCTCTCCGCTTCCTGGCTGCTATGGTTGAGCACCATTTCTTCCGCTGGCCCCTCTGCAATCCTGTTTCTGCCTTGTGGCCAGCCGACCATGGCCCAAAACCATCAGCCAAAACTTCTCCTTTAAATTTTGGGTATCTGAACTGGGCGTGGTGGCTCACAACTGTAATCCCAACACTCGGGAGGCAGAGGCAGGAGGATCGCTATGCATTTGAGATCAGCCTGGGCTACAAAATGAGCTCAAGGCAAGCCCAAACTGCACAGCAAGACCTTGTCTCCAAAAAAAAAAAAAAAAAAAAAAAAAAAAAAATCACACTAAAAATGTTTTGGGTATCTAATATTTTGTTCCAGCCACAGGAAAATGAGTAAGATATGTGATTGTGTCCTTATGTTAAGCAAAATGGGATCATCCTTTATATGTGCTTTTCTGTATGTTTTCTTGATCCATTTGTCTGAGCAATCTTGTAGAGCCCTATCTGAAAACAGTGGCACACTGTTCCACTGCAGGCATTGCCACAATTTAGCCAGTTTGGAGCAGTTTAATTTTCTCACAATTGTCTATCACTATATGGTAACATTTTGATGAAACACCTTGTTGATAAATCTTTGTGTAGAAGTCTGATTTTTTCTTTAGGATATATACGTGGGTCAGAGGACTTAACACATACTGCCAAATGCCTCTCAGAAAACTCACTTTCTGGGACACACGCTGACCACAGGTGTCCAGAACCGAAATGATCACCTTCACTCTGTATTAGTGAGGAAGGCCTTTTCCCATTCGCTCATTGGTCATATGAGTTGTCCATTGTGGCCCAAGACTTTTTCTCCTGGGAAACTTGTTTTACTCGTGTTAAACTGAAACGGATGACAATGACTGATGAGGCAGTGACGGTGAGACCAGCCTGCCCATTTAAGGATTTACTGTGTGACTGGGATTTTACACCTATTACCTCATTTCCTCCTCAACCAACCACCATGTAGATGGGAAGGTTTTTCCCACCCGTGTTAAAGATGAAGAAGCTGAGTAACAGCCAGGGGTGATAGCAGGGGTCAGGATTGTCACCCAGCAGGCAGGCCATACCCTGGTAACCTGTCATACTTAAAGCAAGTTCACTGCTCTCCTTTAAGGTTGATGGATAACTTCTTTTACACTCACAGAATCTAGGTAGCTACATTTGGTAATTTGTTTCTTTATGCTTTCTTTCTTTGCTAGCATGCTTCAAAATGCCTTCCCTACTACTCTACACCATTAAGGTGGTTATTAGAAAAACAAGAAGAAAGAGCAAATAATAAGTGTTGGCCACAATGTGGAGAATCTGGAGCCCATGGGTGCTGCTGGTGGGGAGGTGAAATGTTGCATGTACTGTGGAGACAACAGTCAGTTCCTTGAAACATTAAAAACCAGCTGGGCATGGTGATATATGCCCACAATCCAATGTTCGGAAAGCTGAGATGGATTTTGAGTTGTAGGTCAGCCTGGACTACTTGGTATAGACCCTGCTTCAAACAAATTAACAAACAAACACAAAACAACAAAAATGGAATTTCCATAGCCAGGCAGGGTGGTCCACCCCTATAATCTTAGCACCCAAGAGACCGAGGCTGAAGGATAGTCACAATTGAGGCCAGCCTGGGCTACACAGTGAGTTCAAGGCCAGCCCGAATTCCAAAGCAAGAACCTGTCTCAAAAAAAACAAAAACAGGCGTGGTAGTGCAGACTTGTAATCCCAGCATTTGGGAGGCTGACGCAGGAGGATCTCCATCATGAGTTTGATGTTTGCCTGGACTATATAGTGAGTTCAAGGTCAGTCAGGACTACATAGTGAGACCCTGTCTTAAAAAACAAACAAAAATCCCCAGCATGAAATAACTATAGGATCCAGCAATTTCATTTGTGAGTACAAGAGTGAATCAAGTATCTGTACACCCT